AGGGTTGACTCAGACTTCCATCCTTCCGAGGTTGGTAAAAATGAGGACCCAGATTGTTAAGGACAATATGCTGACTCTGTAAACTGCTTAGACAGGCCTGTGAAGTGGTATATAAGTCCAAGTGGTATTTCTGTAGTGCTATTGCTACTATAAAAGCCTTGTTTAATGTTCAGCTCAGCTCTTGATGACTTGCATTTCACAAAAGGAAAACAGTTTGTACAGACTTCTCCAGGAATTTGTGTTTGACTACCTAGTATAATTTACTGCCATGGATCTCCTAGTGGTCTCTCATTCAAGTACTAATGCCAGGTCCAACTTTGCTAGGCTTCTTTTTTTCCTGAAGTCAGCTAAGATCCATTGGGCGTTGCCAGCTGATGCAACTAACAAAAGTGCCTTTATCCTGTCCTTCCTACAAAAGCCTCAAGGAACATCCACCTTTCTCCATTTTCATCTCCATAACAATCTTGAAACCTGGCTTAGATGAAGGCCTAACATCAGGGCTATAGAAGTATAGAGAATTCAAATTTATTGCATTAAATCCCCTCCAGGTTTCTCAGCAAGGGTTTCTGGAATACAGATAATCCAAGGACATCCTTACTTTAAATTTTTTCTCTTGACTGCATTGCAATAACCTACTGATTTATAGAGGAATTGCAATGGAAAATGGTTGTTGCATTGAAAAATGTCATATTGACTTTTCTTGCATTCTGTAAACAAGCCTTTTGATTCACAGCATCTCCTAATGTAATTGTGTATCACAGCAAATAACTGTTTTTGAGTTTCTCTCATATTAAGAGCTCCATAAAGAGTAAAATGTTTGTCCTCTTGTGCATATAGAGTTTATGATTAGATTTTTATTTTCCATCTCACAAAGAAATAATTATATTCCAAATATTATATTACAAGACTGCTTAAGGGGCATTAAATGTTCGAACGTTTGGACATGCTAGGTTAGAGCCATCCTGTTAAATTTTAATCCAACATATTGTATATTAAGGTAATTATTGTAATTTGTTCATCAAATGTGATAATTTATTTTAATCCATTTATACAGCTGCCCATCTCGCAGTACAGAAGCAACTCTGGTTTTTCATTTGCTAGTGAATGACTGAATAAAAATTTATTGATAGCAATGGCAAAACTTTATAGTTTTATTTTTTTAATCAAGTTTTTATTTTTTTAAAAAAATTATACATATCATTGTGTGAATGGTGCGATATTTGAGTATCATACATTTCAATACATATAAACATATTCCTAATTATTACATTCCATTTTCCTTATTTCATATTATTTACTCCTATCTTTTACACAAAATTTTATTTTTTCATATAAATATTAACTATGCAATAACATCTAACCCGTTGTGCTTTAGCATCCGTATTATCTTCCGTTATAGTTTCAATAGTATAACCCTCAAAAAAGAAAGAACTACAAAATTGTGTTTTCTTTTCTCCTGTACACCATATTTCACCCATTTTTACAACATCTCTCTCCTTTCCTCTTCTTTCTCCTCCCTCTCTTCTCTACTCCTCACCTTCTCTCTACTTCCCTCCTTCCTTCTCCTCTCCTTCCCTTTCTCCTTCTCTCCTTCTCCTGTTCCCTATTTCCCCTCTTCTTCTCTGCTTCTATCTCCTTCCTTTTCTACTCTTCTCTTTCCCCCCCCCGTCTTCTTTCCCCTCTCTACCCTTACTCTTTCTCCCCTCCCCTCCTATTCCCTTCCACTCCACTCCATTTTCCTCTCTCTTTTCGTTGTTGCATATAATATTCCCAATACCTATAGGATATGGTGTATTTTCCAAGTAATATCTCTTTCAACTGTAACCATACAGCTTATTTAAATTACATTCCAAAAATCAAGGAAAACAGACTTAATCACTTACACATATATTAACCATCATCATCATACTTATACTATCATATTAATCTTCATGTTAATAATTTTATACACATCATCATTCTAATTACATATATATATGCAGCTGCAATATTATTCTTTTAATACTAACGTCACTTCATTAATCAGACAGCATACAGTCTAAACATCAGTTTCTTTCATCCTCACATTTCAAGCTTACCACTATTTTAATTCTTTGTGTCTATTTTTCATATTTCTTTTCCTAACTTATTTGACTTTGTGATACATTGATACATTGTGATACTTTGAACTTCTGGCGATTTCGGTGTGAGATCCGCGACCTCTGCGGGTCTGTTCCGAGCTCTCCCTGTCGAGGGCTTCAATAGCCACCTTGGAGGGGTGGTGAAGCAAAGGGGGACTGCCCTGCAGGTTGAGGAGAGCCACATCTCCCCTCCCTGACTCGGAAAACCCCCTCATCCGAAGACTAGGAGCAGCGGCACTCAAGATGGTTGCCATGAAGCAGAGGAACAGCCAGAAACAATAAGTTTGAGCAGGAGGAGAGAAATGCTGAATGGTATGCCGTCTGGGTAAGAAAAGATTTACAGTTGAAGTTGGACCCCACAAAATATTCAAGGGGAATACCTTTTAGAGCAATTTGGTACAGCGGCATGTAATTATTGTGGGAAAAAAGCATATTGGAAAATATTTATAGTTTTAATTAATTACTATAGCATCAATAAAGGAGAATATTTGTAGCTCAGACTGTCAGGGTTCCAAGTAACACCCACAACGAAAGAAGGCTCCGAGGCTAGAAATTCTTCAAAGTTCCATTTTATTAGAGATCATATTGGCACATCTGGAAAAACCTGAATCTGAAAGCTTCCAGGTTTTCCCCACCCAAAAGAAAGTCCAAGTCCCTTCCCCTGCACCCACATGTCCATCACATGGTCCAATCAAAGCACTGTCCCAACTGGAGATGCCTCCCAGTCATGCCACTCCAGGTGCAGGCCCGAATGTCCTTGACTCTCAGAGAAAGGAATGTTATTATGGCTAAATACCTCCACCACTCTATCCTATACCCCCTCCCAGTTTCCCACAGCACTAAGTGTGGCAGACCTGCAGATTCAAAGAAAAAGATGGCCTCCAGGGCTGACACAAGGTTGAAATGAAGGGTTTTTGGTGCTTTCTGAGCTTGGTTTTTTTCTTGCAGACATTTCGTTACCCAAATTAGGTAACATCATCAGTGGTAGTAGGGAGTGGGGATTACTCTGTTTATATTCTAGTGGCTTGTACTGTCAGTATTGATGGGGGTGGTTTTAAGAGGTGCTTTGGCTTATTTGACTTGCTTGGAAGTTTCTTGATTGGGGTATTGTAATATTGTGATATAGTTTTGATTTCATTACAGGTAGTCCTCAGTTTATGACCACAATTGAGCCCAAAAATTCTGTTGCTAAATGAAATATTTATGAGTTTTGTCCCATTTTATTATCTTTATTGCCACAGTTAAGTGAATCACTGCAGCTGTTAATAACATGGTTAAGTGAATCTGTTGTAAAAGATGATCACATGACCACAGGACACTGAACCTATCATAAATATGAGTTAGTTGCTAAGCATCTGAATTTTGATCACGTGACCATGGGGATGCTTCAACATTCGTAAGTGTGAAAAATGGTCATGTCACTTTAATGCCGTTTTAATTTTGGTCACTAAATGAACTGTTGTAAATTGAGGACTACCAGTATATTTCACCTGTAATTTGTATCACTCAAGGCAGAATACATAAGTTTACTAAACATGATAAACTATCCTACACACAATATTTTTTATTGTGGCCTTTCATCAGTATAATGTTTCAATCACATTAAACTTCACTGATGACAATAATCTTTGAAGTCTTGTCTCCTGTGAATGCCTCCTCCCTTTCCTCTGAGAAGCTGGTTGCTACTAAACAGATTATTTTCAATCACAGATTATTTTCAATCCTGGTAACCCAGTGAGATTCAAGTTATCTTTACTGGGAAATAGATTATTCAAAAAATTGTTTTTATGAGCCTTTTAGATATAATGTCAATGCTTGATTCTTCATGTTGTCTCTATTGATGGATCGCTTTTCAATTGATATTTCAATGGTTTCATTATTTTAACAAACCATCCCGGGTTTTGCACTGATTTAAAGGCAAATTTAAATAATAAATCTGGGGAAAAAAGCATCCTTTCACTTTTCATAAGAGCTGCTTCTAAATGGCGCTTGCCAATCGGAACATATCCAACCAAAGTGGTTTCTGGAGCCCGCACTATCAAAATCGGACTGTAGGGCTTTGCGGTTGTTGTTAGTTGCAAAGTCAACCCATCCCGACCCCATGGACAAAGTTCATCCAGGTTTTCCTGTCCTCTACCATCCTCTAGAGTCCATTTAAGCTCACACCTACTGCTTCAGTGACTCCATCCAGTCACCTCATTCTCTGATGAGGCTATTATTACTGTATTATTTTTCCTCAGGTTTTTTTCTCCCTCTCGCTCAAAACTGAAGTGGTGCAAGTCCAGCTTACGGATCCCAATCACTTAATACCATTTTCTTTCTTTGCTTTCATTATCACTATATTAAAATCCCTGCAAAGCTCCTCCTGGGTGTTTAAAGATTTGATTCCCACCCGCCCCCATCCCCCATGGTTAATGCATAACTCTCCTGACTCAATGTTGAGCAACTTTTATGATGTGTGTGGACTACACCTGATTGGGGAATTGTGGGAGTGGAAAGTCCACACACACACACACACACACACCTCAAAAGTGGCTGAGGTCGAGAAACGCCGTGCTAACTAATTCGACGTTTCCTTCTTGTGTTCGGTTGCACTGTTTTAGTCTGTTTTACCACACCTTAAAAAGGAACACAAAGTGTAACCTAAAACTTCCGTGGAGTGCAATTCCCTCTTTCTTTAAATCAGAAATACAACATGTGATTTATTTGGAAAATACGGGGAGGAAGGAATCCTACTTCGGAAAAAGTCCCCCCCTCCCCACTTCCCCCCGCTGCAAAAGGTCGCCGAGCATCTTTCTCTTTCGATTTCTCTCGCCCTTCGCACCGCTTTCCCCGGGATTTCCCAGCCCGCGCCTGCTTTCTCCCAACCAGAACGGACCGTTCCAGAGACGAGAAAGGCGGAAAAAGACGGGATTGGCCTTTCGCCTCCGCCAATCATCGCCCTACGACCTAGAAGCTCACCCAGCGGGGAATGTTAACTCAGAGCTCGGGAAGCGCCCGCGGGGGACACTTTCCCGGGTGAAGCGAAAGTAGCTGCTGCCTTTCGTCGCCTCTGCGATTTGCCCACCTGCTCTTCTTTTAGGATGAGGGGGCTGCTCCTGGGCTCCGTTTCCACCTGCAGGGTGATTCTGACGGTCGCCGTCCTGTGCTGCTGCTGCGCTAACAGAGCAGCTTCTTCAGGTAATCAACCTGGCAGGTCGCTGCCTGCACCCGGACTAGGCTCTCAGTCTAGGGAGCGGATTCCCCGCGCGAGAAAGCGGCTGGCTGGAGGCCGAAGAAGAAACAAACCGCGCTGCGCAAGCCGGAGCGCGGGCGGGGGGGGGGGGGGGGGCCCTCTGGCGTGGATACACCCAGACCCAGAGGGAGAGAAGGTGGTGTTGGTTAGGGAAATGGGAAATCCCCGTTTAAACGCATTGGGGCTGGTTGGGCAGAAGGTTGAGTGGGTGCCTTTGGAAACGAGTGGAGGATGCTCCCACACCCCCTCGCTTGCTTCTCCGGGTGGGTGGGTGGGATGCTGTCCCTGTGGCAGGTGTTCTCTAGCGAGCGCCGGGAACTGCGCTGCCAGTTCCTCTCCGCGCAGTCGAGCTTGCCTCTTTCCTTCCAGCGTTGCGCGCGCGCAAAAGAAGTCTCCGGTTTGCGCCATGGCCGCGAGTTTACAGCCGTCACTTGACAGTTTGTTGTTGTTGTTGTTGTTTTGAGCCTCCGGCACTGTGGAGGCTTTAAACCTGAAAGCCGTAGTAGGATATAGTTCCCCCCCCCCCCGCCCCCGACGATCAGGTCGACGGCGGCCGTCCCTTAAAAATCCGAGCCCGATTTTCCACCTTCGACGACGACGACGACTACTTATCTACGCCGTTTGCAGCCGCGGTCTGGGAATGGGCGTCGGAGGCACAACGGCGACGTTGGCCCTTCGCCACGGTACATCCAGGCCCCTTTCGCTTTCTTTCCCAGAGTTATTTATAGGCATTGCCATAGATTCCTTGCGTGGTTTGATTTTTTTTTTTTTTTTGGAGCTGAAAACTTGGTTTACTCTTCGGTGGCCACTCAGTGTAAAGCAGAAAAAAAAAAACCGCGGGGCTTTTGGAGCTAGGTGGGGGAACCGAATTGGAGCAAGGAGACTTTTGGTTTTCGCTTCAAGACTCTTTCCCCTGCTCCAACTGTGGTGGCAAATCTTCATATTTCTTTCCAATGCTACATTTGACTGGTGGACTTTCTAAATTGTGTTTAGAAAGAAATTGTGTTTGGGGGGTGCACAGTAATGAAAAGTGTTGAAGTTCTGGCAGGAAAAAAAGGATAGCAACCAAATCATCCTGATGAATTGAAGTTTCAGTTTGATTTCACAGATTTTTTTTTTTTATCAGAAATCTTTAAGACCATTAAGGTATTTTGCAGGTCTGTGCAAGATTATACTGGGTTCAGCTGATAAGGATTTGCTGGTGTTTTTTCTTAACTTTTTTTTTTTTTTTTTAAAGAGATTGAAATTTGAACCTACATTAATTCTACGTTACTGTATAAATATCACAGAGTCTTTGGGCTTAAACATTTGAAGGGAAAATTAAATTGTAATTTCATATGGATTAAATTGTTATATGCAAATGTTTTAAAACTTTCCTGTATTGTCATTTTCACTGGAACTACATGTAAATGCTTTCAAGCATGACATTTTAATAGTACACAAGCCCTTTTATGTGTCTTTCACATACATTATGCTATAATTGTCTGAGAGATTGTCTGTGTATATAGTGCAGTCTTACATTATTTAGAAAGGGCTTCTCTCTAAACAGGTTATTATTTCCGTTGCTAATGCAATTATTCTAAAACTTCCCTGTATACCATTTTACTGGAATATATGTAAATACTTTCAAGCATGACAGTTCAACAGTACACACCCTCTTATGTGTAAACAGTGTAACTAGGATTCATCTAACATTCATTCACATACATTATAATTGCTACTTGTGTGTGAGAGATTGTATGTGTGTGTATAATATGTAGGTTTATATTATGTAGAAAGGACTTATTTCTAACTACAGATAATCCTTGAGTTATGACAGTTTGCTTAGCGACCGTTCAAAGTTGGAACATAGCCCCCCTTTTTCTTGCCGGCAAGGGCTTTTTGCAAAAACCTACAGGGACGCAATCTTTCTGTAGGCTTTGGCAAGTCTTTGCAAAAAGCCTTTGCCCGTAAGAATGGAGCCTGAGGGGGACTGGTGCGTCTCTCCCCCCCCCCCCCCCCCCGGGCTCTGTTCTTGCCGGCAAAGGCTTGCCAAAGTGTTTGCAAGCTGTTGGGACGCTTTGAAGCAGCACAATTTCACTGCCCCAGATCCACCCATCAGCTTGCAAACAGTTTGGGTGCCGAGACTGGAAGATTCTGGGGGCTGTGATCTTGTGCAACTTCAGGCACTTGTCCGCTTTTGCAGAGAAGGAGTGCCTGAAGTTGCATGAGATCACGAACCCCAGAAGCTTCTAGTCTCGGTGCCCAAACTGTTTGCAAGCCAATAGGATGCTTCGAGCAGACATTTGTGCACTGATACTGGAACTTCTGTGATCTTGCGCAGTAGAGAGGCTGGAGAGGAGACAGTTCACTAGAGCTTCTCAAGGTAAGTGACCCAACGCAGCAGGAAGGGTGTGTGTGAAGCAATTGTGGGGAGCATGAGGCTTCTTAGTAAATTGGGGGAGGCCTTGGGTGGTCTTAAGCAGGTGGCCAGTTCCATCACTAGGCCCCTCCATGACTTTCCCCATCCTGAGATACCTCATGTGCACTTAAATGACCCGTGCATTCGATTATCGAATGCATGGGCAAAAGCAGGGAGTTCTCACACTCGTTTTATGTGATTCACTACAATGAATCCTCGAATTACAAATGTAATCGGCAGGCTCCATTACATTCGTAACTTGAGGACCCCCCTGTAGTTTATTATTTCTCTTGCTAATTGTTGATGGAGATTTTCTATTAAGTTCTATTTCTATTCAGTTCAATTCTAAACTGAACTGAAGAAGTTTCTTGGATGAGATGTGAAACGTTCAACTATAAAAAAAAGTGTCATGACTATTTTTCATACATAGGACAGTTGAAAAATCCCTATAGTCACATGATGAAAATGTGGGTGCATGGCAAATGGCATGGATTTATGATATTGCACTGTCCCAAGGTCATGTGTGATCACCATATGTAACCCTCCCAACCGCCTTCCCATAAGCAAAGTCAATGGTAGAAACCAGATTCTTTAACGACCACACGACTCACATAACAACTGCAGAGATTTACTTACCAATTGTATCCAAAAGGTCGTAAAATGGGGCAAAACTCATTGCTTAGCAATGGAAATTTTGGACTCAGTTATGGTCTTAAGTCAAGGACTACCTAGGCTCCAACAGTTTATTTTGAAGCAGAATGCCGAGTGTCTTTATGGTTAAGGGATGCAGGCCAGTGGTGGGTTGCTCCCGGTTTGGACCGGTTGACAAGAACCGGTAGTAAAACCGGTGGGAGGCTCCGCCCACCGACCTGGACATCATCAGGAAGCTTCTGCACAGTCCTGTTGCAAACCGGTAGTAAAGGTAAGTAGAACTCACCCCTGATGCAGACTCATGAGACGTAATCTGAAAGCAGGAAAAATTACCCAAATGGTTGTAACTCATTTGCATGGGGGTCATTTTTTTTTGGCTTTCCTGAATTATTCTGTACAATCACCCTGTAATCTGGTCCTGAAAGGTAAGGTGCTGGTAGATAATTACAGACCACTTGAACTAAAGAGCTTCCTCCAATTTTTTAATTGTACCCCACCCAGAGTTGCTCTGCAAGTGAGATGGGCAGTCTCTAAATTAGATATACATACACAAACACACACCCACATCCACACACCTAAAATGTAACTTTATCTTGTCCATAAATTGGTACCTGCAGTAGCTTTCTCTTGGTAGAGATACAGGGACATGCTGTTTAACTGGATACTATGAAAGTGTCATACTTTTTGGCCGACATTGGACCCATCATGATGAGAGTTATAGGATGAGTTCATTGGGTTTTTAATGAAAGAGAAGCCATGGACTAGCAAAGTCAGTGCTCAGAAATTGAAGGAACAAAGAGTGCAGCCAGGCACATTAAGTATAAACTAGAGTAAGATGCTCCGGAAGAAAAATCAGTAATGTCTCCCTTTTTTTTCCTGGTAGAAAAACGATTCTGTTTTAGGGGATTGCTTTGATATGGCTGGAGACCAAATGGCAATGTTACGAAGCTGATATCTTGGCTCTCAGAGCCATGCCTAATGACAGTCAAATGGACGAAGCCGAAGAGTGTGGTCATAGCACTCCAGAATGATAGGAACATTTACCAAATTGCAAGATGAATGGGCTGGTTCTGTCTCACCTCAGTTGAAGATACAATCCAGAAAATCAGACATGCAGCTACAGATACTCCTTGACTTATAACCACAATTGATCCCAGAATTTCTGTTGTTAAGTGAGGCATTTGTTAAGTATATTTTGCCCCATTCTATGACTTTCCATGCCACAGTTGTTAAGTGAATCACTGCAGTGGATAGGTTAGTAACCTGATTATTAAATAAATCTGGTTTTCCCCATTGACTTTGCTTGTCGGAAGGTTACACAAGCAGATCACATGACCCTAAGGCACTGCAAACATCATAAATATGACTAGGTTGCCAAGTGTCTGAATTTTGATCATGTGACCATAGGGATGCTGCAATGGTTGTATGTGAATAAATGGTCATAAATCATTTTTTCAGTGCGGTTGTAACTCTGAACAGTCACTAAATGAGCTGTTGTAAGTCATGGACTATCTGTAGTAGGGAACTGAAAAGGAAACCTGACCTGATGTTGGATGGATAGAATCCTGCCAGAATGTTATAATAATTGACATTACAGGAACAACAGAAAAAATGGCACTGACTACAAAAGGGAAGAAATTTTTGAATTGGCTGAAATTCCAGCTATAACTTTCTTGCAGAGTGATATCTCTGCTTTAAGACCCATTTGGAGGGGCTGCATGAAAGCTGTTTGAAATGATGGGATAAAATTAATATATATGTATCACACATCATTGTAATTCTGACAACAGCTAAATGTGTCTTATGAAGTTTGCAAGAGCAGATACTTTCACTGTAAGCCAAACTTGTATTCATATCCTTATTGGTAAATCATTTTGGAGTTGAGAATTTAAA